ACATCCCCTTGGGCTGACGCATGGTACTATTACAGACACTGCCTGCGCATCGCCCGAGGGTAGTCCACGCAGTTGTATGTTGGTTGTGGGTTTCACAGGGTTTGCTTGGGGTGTCGGTCTCGGGTGTTCTGATGTTCTCCCCAGTCTGGCATATCACACGATCATTCCATTTTCCGGTAGTTGCTCATACGGTAGAGTCTTGGATTACATGTTACAAGGTCACGGGTTCAAGCTTGGTTCGGTCCTTGGGGCGGGTTCCTTGTCCAGCTGTGGCCCGTTCTCTCCTCGATACATGATTCACAGAGTACACATAGCTTTCGGGCATACACACATAGCTTGCGAATTATATATCGCTTACAGGTTACATACACAAGTTTCCACACATGATACTGTCTACACAGATTCACAGAATACATACACAAAAAAGAGGCCGGGGAGCTAGTCACTGGTGGGGTCTACTGCCTGCAGTAGGTTCAGGTAGGTTGGATAGGGTGCCATTGGGTGCAGTTCCTACTGACATTCGGATAGAACTGTCTGATGGCTATATATATATGGGGCCTGTAGTTCATTGTCTCCGCCTGGCGTCCGAAGTTCCCGTTCGACAAGGTTCGTCCGATTCCGCTTCCACCAGGGCTGGGCAATCTATCAGCCCTGGTGCCTATCACACTGCTGTTCAGTCCAAGTTGCCTGCCCGTTGGTAGGGCAACGGTCCTGAGTGCTGGTCACACTGAGGTAGAATAGTGGGATTGGGGGTGCGCTAGGAGTATTGACGTGAGGATGGGTTGGTAGGTGGTCTCATATTCAAGGACACCCACGGCTCACAGTTCCAGTTGATCACTGTGCACACACTGACTGGCCTCTACAACATCCTGGACTTCTAAGGGGGGGGGGGGGGGGGGGGAAGAAAAAAGAAAAAAAGAAAAAAAAAAAAGCAATGAAATCAGAAGTCTAGAAAAGAAAAAGAAACAGAGCATTTGCAACCACACATGCTGCTCTTTTTCTTTTCAGTACCCCCTCAATTCCTACTAACAAATGTCTAATAAGCTGCAACAACCTTCTTCCCTCAGTCACCATGAATATATTCCGCCGGGGAATCAATGTAAATTCATGCGGTCGGCTAAACAGCTGTCGGAATATATAAACATTGTATCACCTTTTTACTGCAAGCCCTTCATCATCTCCACACCCTACCTCTCCCCTTCCCCCCC